CTTTGGAAAATGAGTGTCTCAAACTCGCTTCTTGAGAAGTTCCATTCCCAGCAGACGGCTGTTGATCAAGATTTGGAAACAACCTTGGGGAATAACCATCCTGAAGAAACACATGAAAGTAAATTACAAGGTCCACCTAATGAGTGTGGAATACTTAAGACTACAATAAACAGTCACCTGATATCTGAAGAAGCATTGCTCTAAACTTAAGGAATAGGTACGAAAGTTAACAAGTAATATTGTGTAAAGTGAGAACTGAACTACCGGTGTTCTGAAACTTGTAGTAAGCGTGACAATGTGAACCATCTAGTGTATCGTGAAATTAATCGTATTCAAAAGACTGACTCTTCACATGCTTTGCAGTTTGCACCTTCATATCATAGAAAGCCAACAGATTCAATCAAGCAAATATCAGGGAAACTGCTACCTCTTCCCCCAACCCTAAACACGAAAGAGGTTGGAAAATGCGCCACTTCTGAGTTATAAGATTACTATTAGACTCTGATACTATCAGTAAGAAGTTCAGAGGTATAACAGAAATCATTAGGGGAATCAGAATTAGGACATAATTGGAGAACCGCAGAACATAGTAGCATCTCTTGTTCCTTGTTTGTGCAAAAAGATAGCAGCATGTTAGTAGACAGAGTACCTTCACTATGATGGAATTTTCACAAATTGTACCTTTCCTATCTGAAGTGACTCAGTAGGTAGAATAGCTCCATGACAATCACACAACAGCATGAACGGAGTTAACATTTTCTTATTGACGGTAGTAAATGCCAGCCCAAAAAATTTATGCTATGAGAAATAAAGACCGTAAAAATATGAAAGGGCATACCATAGATTCCTGAAACTCAGCTCCTAGATAGCTACCGGAAGCCAACAAATGGTTGTCGTACAGTAGATAGTATGCAACAGTAGCCTGAGACAGACATATGAAGGTATAAAGCAAGCTGACGTAATTAAAAGGTTCACTACATTCATCACTTTGTAATCAATTTGATTGAATGTGACCCAAACTTTAGTTGAACCACAATGTATATAATCCCCCCAAGGATCAGCAAATATACATAAACCCTCAGTTTCTAGTTTAGAGATGTAAAACAGAAGCATATTTACAATTGCTGGCTTATTTATCCTTTTCCAGTACCCTTTTAGTAGGCATATGCAATAGAGGAAAACCACAAGAAGAGAAAAGTAGCTACGCCAAGAGACAGAGTAACATACATCATCTTGCACTCTCTTTTGCAAAGATTCGAGCAACTGGTCTCTATCAAAACCCATTCTAATTACTTGCTGGAGAATTTCCTCGTCGAGCTGCAAAGTTGTACGCAAGACAGCTTATAGTATCAGCAAGGATGGGTGACTAGACAGAATTGCACACTACAAGTATTTAACAAACAGACAATAATATGGGATAGATGGGATAAGCTCTTGACATACTTCCAATCAAACAATATCCTCTACAATAGCTGCAAGATACATAAGTTTTCCCTGATCTCGTAAAAGGAAGTGAAGATTGATAACAGTGTTTTGATGTCCTTTGGAGGTATACTTGATGAACTTTATATCACCACTTGAATTAATACAGGAATAACAAGTGGAGAAACAACAAAGTCCAGTGTCCAGTATAAGTTCCAGATATACAGCAGCATATCTAGTTGGATTTGATGATTGCAGTTGACAAAAAAGGGTAAAATCAATTGGAATACTTTTAGCATCATACAAGAATCTTTTGCTATTAGCAAAATAATGTTATAGTTACCTTTTTCAGAAGTTGCATAGAATCAGGTAGAGGAACAGCCAAATACCGAGGAAGATGAATTTTGAACCACTGGTGCTGACGAATATCAGCTATGGTGGTCCGCATCATAGGGTCAACAACTAGCATCCTTGGTATCAAATCCCTAGCTCCAGGTGACAGATGACTTGGAAGGGTGTAGATTCCACACTGAACGACACATTGTTAACCATGTAAAGAACCACTACCTCAAACTGTAAAAAACTTGGAAAATCAGACAGCAAAAGTAGATCCATCAATGTACCTTTATTTTCTTGAAAAGGTTAGGTATATTCTCATCTTCGAACGGAAGTTTTCCACATAGAAGAGCATATAAGATAACACCACAACTCCAAACATCTACCTCCGGACCAGCATAAAGTTTCCCAGAGACAACCTGCAAATAAATGTTGTCGATATGACTTCGGCCTTCCAGTTCAAAAGACAAATGTTTATCTTAAAGATTACAAACGGTGCAAGTTTCCACCTCAGGAGCCGCATAATTAGGACTTCCACAACTTGTCTTCAGAAAATGGCCATCTCGCATAATGTTGCTCAAGCCAAAATCTGCTATCTTTACATTGCCTCTTGCATCCAAAAGCACATTCTCAGGCTTAAGGTCCCGATGAACCACCCTATTCCTATGGCAGTACTCTACACCGGCAACAATCTGTCCCCAGAGAAACAACCAAGCTATAATGATCAGCGAAATATTAAACTACATAAACATAAAGCCACAGTTAAGACTGCCATTTCTACTATCACATGACAAAGAGAGAAAAATCAACTGTTGTACCTGCTGAAAAATATGCCGAGCTTCATCTTCCTGTAACCTGCGCTTTTCCATAATATAGTCAAAGAGCTCGCCAGACTTACCATACTCCATCACAACATATATATCTGTTGGTGTCTCTATCATTTCATAAAGCCGTATCACATGTGGATGCACAAATAATCTACATATTCTTATTTCTCTTCTCACTGCACAAAAATAGAGTAAATTTTAGAAAAAAATGGATGACCATCTAAATCCTTAAAGGAAAAACCAAGACGTGATTCAAATAAAAAAGAAACCAATTTTGTTGATAGCATAATGCTACCCCAGGCATGAGCTTCATACGTTTTTCCTCCATGCCGAGGTTCCTCATTTTTTGACGGTTAAGGATTTTTATAGCCACCTTGTTGTCAGTCAGCAAATGCACAGCAATTTTGACTTTACCGAAGGCTCCATGGCCAAGAGTTTTTCCTAGCCTGTAGTTTCTCAGAAAAGGAGTATCAGACGTTCCACCACCTCTGCTACCCATTTGTCTATAGCACACCTGATTGAACACCCTTAACAATTTAGTCAAAAACTATTGGATACCTACTATTCAGTAAATCCATTCGCCGATACGGTCTCAAAACATAGTTTGCACACACAGCAGATTAACTAAAGTTCACAACTTCATTAGATTATCATATTATAAGATTAGGTCAATTTTAGCATCAAAGAAAGCAAATTTTATCGAACATGTAATCCGATCCAAGAAACTTGGAGAGTTCCGCTAGACAAGTTATCAACTTGAAGATTATCAAGAATTTCAGCACACGGCAGTAGACAACAGGTACTACCGTTATCTACAAAACCTAAAAGCTATCAACTTGAAGATTCCGCAATCAATGATCAAATAAATAAATTAACACCCACATCAAGTTCACATCAGAAACCGTAATTACTAACTTAAAGCACGATTTTGCCCAATTGAACAAAATTAATCACAAAGACCAAGAATTTTGACATATGAACTAGCAGAAAATAAAAGTTAAAACAAAGAACTAGAAAATGTAAGAATTGTTTTTCTCACTGTGCATGCGCGAATTTTTTCGGGAGAGAGGAAAAAGGAGAGCATAGAATTTCAGACAGTGAGGAAAGTGATTGGAGCTTTGTAATTCTCGACTTCAGAATCTGATTCAGCAATACTTAGCCCTTAAGTTTGTCAAAAAAAAAAATCATTTGTGCATTTGTGTTGATTACTGGACGTCAATGCATTATGCGCTCTCCACCGAGAGATTCCAAATAAAATATAGACACATGGGCTTTGATCCCAAATAATTCCAAAAAGAAAGAAAACAACTTTTTGAGCCCAAAAAGAAAAAGTTGATAACTTCGTCAAAAAAAGCATTCGTTCCGCCACCTTCAAAGCCTATGTCTCCTCCACCACAGCTCACTCTTCTGTTTTCGTCAACTTCGCACCTCCTTCTTTTTCAGCATAGAAATTGTGAACAACATTAAACCATCAGTTCGCTTCGACAACAAATGGTACTCATGAGATGCTTCGGTTTTGAAATTGGAGAGTTTTACAAAGTATGAGTTGTAGTCGCAGCGGCGGAGCCACTTAGGCCATACTGACACTCTTGATGGAAAAATTTATTAAATATATATTTATTGTTGTAAAACCTATAGTTAATGTGGATTTCCAATATTCCTATTATTTTTATCCATGATGTGAATAATCTTTCACTACTCATCACTATTATGATTGTAACTCTCACATCTCCATAACCTCTCCCCTTGATCTTCCCCCATGACCTCAATTGTTAATGTCATGTTTAAGACAATTATTTTGTAACCTTCATATGTAATAGTATAAATAGAGGTATGAAATGTGAGAGGGAATACACTTGAACACTTGATGAAATAAAAAAGTTATCTCTTCTTCTACTTATCTTCTTGTTTTATATTGTTACTTTGAGCTACATTTCTTAATACGTTATCAGCACGAAGTTGAGCTCTTTTGTTGTTCAGGTATATTTGTTCATTTTGTTTTCTTCGTTGTATATTTTGATTTCATGATTAGTGTATTTAATATGCAGTTTTATAATTTCTCACATCTCTAGATATGTGTAAAAATAAAGAATTCTATGTTTCTTTATTTTAAGTTATATTTATGATTGTCATGTGAAAGTTGCTAATTTTCATGTTAATAGAATTAATTGAGAGAAGAATACTTGTTTTATGTTGTTCGATATTTGAAATTGTGTTAAAGTTAGAAGACATTTTTGTTCTAGTTAACATCAAAGATATACTAATAATTTGAAGAAAAAAAATAGTATTCTTTTCGAAGGAATTATCACTTTAGTGTATATATATCACAAATTTGATATTATGTCAATTTTTAAGATTCTTTACGCTATTATGCTAATGATTTCTAATTATTTATCTTCTTTGATAGTTTTCACTATGTCGAATTTGTCAAAGCTTGAGTTTGTGGTACTTGACATTTCTGGAAAGAATTACCTATCATGGGTTCTCGATGCTGAGATTCATTTAGCTGCTAAAGGCCTTGGTGACACCATTATTCAGGGTAATGAGGCATCAAGCCAAGACAAAGCGAAGGCCATGATTTTCCTTCGTCATCATTTGGATGAAGGTTTGAAGGTTGATTATTTGACAGTGAAAGATCCACTTGAATTGTGGACTGGCCTGAAGGAAAGGTATGATCACCTTAAGGCTACGGTATTGCCAAGGGCTCGATATGAGTGGATGCACTTACGGTTGCAAGATTTTAAGACCGTAAGTGAATATAAAGCTGATGTATTTCGAATAACTTCCCAATTGAAATTATGTGGGGATGTTATGAATGATGAAGATTTGTTGGAAAAGACTCTTACGACTTTTCATGCCTCAAATATGGTATTACAGCAGCAATACCGTGAAAGGGGTTTTAAAAAGTATTCTGAATTGATCTCATGCCTTCTGGTGGCTGAGCAACATAATATCCTTTTGCTGAAAAATCATGAAGCCCGTCCCACAGGGTCAGCTCCGCTTCCTGAAGTGAATATGGCAGCTAGACGTGATAAGTTTGAAAAAAGACAGAATAATAATCATGGCCATATGAATATACGTGGGCATGGCAATGGTAAAAGACGATATAATAGCCGTCATCATGGTGGTCATGGCAAACGAGAGAACAATATGGGTTCTCAAAACAATCCTTCAAGAGGCAAAAGTGGTAACTGCCACCGCTATGAAAGATCATTGGAAAATTGAATGCCGTGCACCTGAGCATTTTGTCAGGCTTTATCAAAACTCCATCAAAAGAAAGGCAAATAATGTTGGAGCATCTTCTGCTAATGCCCCAGTGGAGTCTCACTTGACCTTTAAAAATAATTTTGAGGCAGGGTCTTCAAACAAAAATGATGACAATGCCGAGGCAAATCTTGCTTTGAATGATGATGATTTTCAAGGCCTCGATGATCTTACTCATTTGGAAGTTGAAGACTTCTTTGGAGATCAAAAACTAAAGTTTGATCATTTTACTGGGGAATGCAATTATGTTATTTTTATTTTCAGTGGTTTTTTTTGTCTCGTTCTAAAGTTGTTTTTTATTTTCAAGTAGTATTTAAGTTGTCTTATGTTGTCGTTGGTGATGTTAGTTTTTCCGTATATCTCATGTGTACTTTTATTTTTTTATGAAGAATATAAAATTCCCCAGTCTTCAATTGGATCCAAGATGAGTAATGAAGATTTATGCTTTTTGGATAGTGCTACAACTCACACAATATTAAGAGAAAAGAAATTTTTCTCTTATTTGGTTATGAAAAAGGCTTATATTAATACAATATCTGGTAGTACAAAGTTAATTGAAGGCTCTGGAAGAGCGGCCTTATTACTACCTGGAGGAACGATATTAACTATTAATAATGCATTGTATTGTAGTAAGTCTCAAAGAAACTTGTTGAGTTTCAAAGCTATTCGCCAAAATGGTTACCATGTTGAGACCTCTAACGAAGGAAAGGTTGAATACCTTTATATTACTACAAAAAAAGCGGGGAAAAAATGTGTGCACGAAAAATTACCCGCATTTTCTTCTGGGTTGTACCACACAAATATTGGTGTGGTTGAATCACATGCCATAGTAAACAAAAGGTTTACTACTTCTAATGATTTATCATTTGGCATGACCGGTTGGGCCATCCCGGTTCTAACATGATGCGCAGAATAATAGAGAATTTAAATGGGCACACATTGAAGAATAAGAAAATTCTTCAATTTAAGGAATTCTCTTGTGCTGCTTGTTTTCAAGGAAAATTGGTTATTAAACCATCAGCAGCTAAAGTTGGGATTGAATCCCCTGCATTTCTGGAACGTATACAGGGTGATATATGTGGGCCTATACACCCTCCATGTGGACAATTCAAGTATTTTATGGTCTTGATAGACGCATCTACAAGATGGTCACATGCGTGCTAATTGTCAACTCGTAATATGGCATTTGCGAGATTGTTGGCCCAAATAATAAGGTTAAGAGCACAATTTCCAGATTATGCAATTAAGATAATTCGTCTTGATAATGCTGGTGAATTTACATCTCAGGCCTTTATTGACTATTGTATGGCCACTGGAATAAAAGTTGACCATCCGGTTGCTCATGTTCATAATCAAAATGGTCTAGCAGAATCATTGATTAAGCGCCTCCAACTAATAGCTAGACAATTGCTAATGAGGACAAAACTTCCCCTTTCAGTGTGGGGACATGCTATTTTGCATACAGCAGCACTTGTGCGCATAAGGCCAACCAGTTATCAAAGTCTCCCCATTACAGTTGGCTTTTGGTCAGGAGCCAAATATTTCCCATCTAAGAATTTTTGGATGTGCGGTATATGTTCCAATTGCTCCACCACAACGCACAAAGATGGGTCCCCAAAGAAGGTTGGGAGTATATGTTGGTTATGAATCTCCTACTATTAAATATCTGGAGCCTATGACAGGAGACTTGTTTACAGCCAGATTTGCTGATTGTCATTTTGATGAATCAGTTTTTCCAACATTAGGGGGAGAAAATAAACAGCTGGAAAAAGAGATAGATTGGAACGTATTATCTCTATCTCATTTGGATCCTCGTACAAATCAATGTGAACAAGAAGTTCAAAAGATCATTTATATGCAAAATGTTGCAAATCAATTGCCAGATGCATTTACTAACCTTCCACGGGTTACTAAATTGCATATTCCAGCTGTAAATGCTCCGACTCGAGTTGATGTCCCAGCTGGACAGTATGATAATTCAAATGAGTCTAGGCCACGCCTTAAACGTGGTAGACCAATCGGTTCCAAAGATAAGAATCCCCGAAAAAGGAAAGGAGCAAATGATCAAGTTGATCATAACATGGGGCAATTGCTCAAGAAGAGCATAAAGACATAATAATTGATAAGACCTCACAGGAGGTTCTAGTACCTGGAAATGATGAAAATGAAGAGATCTCAATAAGTTATGTCTCTACGGGAAAAAGGTGGAACCGGAATAATGTTATTGTTGACAATAATTTTGCATATAACGTTGCAGTTGAAGTAATGCAACAAGATGAGGATCTTGAGCCAAAATCTGTCGATGAATGTAGACAGAGAAATGATTGGCCAAAATGGAAAAATGCAATTCAAGCGAAATTGTCTTCACTCGAAAAACGTGAAGTTTTTGGACCAATAGTCCGAACGCCTGAAAGTATCAAGCCAGTGGGGTACAAGTGGGTTTTTGTGCGTAAACGAAATGAGAAAGGTGAAGTCGTAAGATATAAAGCACGACTTGTGGCACAAGGGTTTTAGCAAAGGCCTGGAATTGATTATATGGAGACATATTCTCCTGTGGTAGATGCAATTACTTTCAAGTATCTAATAAATCTGGCAGTCCATGAAAAGCTTGATATGCGGTTGATGGATGTTGTCACAACCTACTTATATGGCTCACTGGACAATGAAATTTTTATGAAAATCCATGAAGGATTTAAAGTTCCTGAAGCACATAAAAGTTCAAGAGAAACTTGTTCAATAAAGCTTCAGAAATCCTTATACAGATTGAAGCAATCAGGGAGGATGTGGTACAATCGCTTTAGCGAGTATTTGCTAAAGGAAGGGTACAAAAATGACCCTATTTGCCCTTGTGTCTTTATTAAGAGGTCTGGATCTGAATTTGTCATCATAGCTGTGTATGTTGATGACTTGAATATCATTGGCACTTCTAAAGAGCTTCCAAAGGCTGTAGAGTGTTTGAAGAAAGAATTTGAAATGAAAGATCTTGGTAAGATAAAATTTTGTCTTGGCCTCCAAATTGAGCATGTACTAAATGGAATTTTTGTCCATCAATCAACATACACTGAAAAGGTTTTAAAGCGATTTTACATGGATAATGCACATCCATTGAGTACCCCAATGGTTGTGAGATCGCTTGATATAAACAAAGATCCGTTTCGGCCTCAAGAAAATGATGAAGAGCTCGTTGGTGATGAAAATCCATATCTTAGTGCAATTGGGGCACTTATGTATCTTGCCAACAATACTCAACCAGATATTGCTTTTGCAGTAAGCTTCTTAGCAGGATTCAGCTCCTCCCCAACAAGAAGACATTGGAATGATGTATATTTAGATATCTTCGGGGAACTATGGATATGGGATTGTTTTATTCTAATGAATTCAAGTCAGAAATGATTAGCTATGCCGATGCAGGTTATTTGTCTGATCCACATAAAGCCCGATCTCAAACAGGCTATTTGTTTACATATGGAGGTAAAGCTATATCATGGCGTTCAATGAAACAAACAATAGCTGCCACATCTTCAAATCATGCTGAGATCATAGCCATTCATGAGGCTAGTCGTTAATGTGTTTGGTTGAGATCAATGACTCAGCATATTCAGGAAATGTGTGGTTTTCATATGAAAACAAATAATCCAACTACACTATATGAAGACAATGTTGCATGCATTGCTCAACTGAAAGGAGGATACATCAAAGGAAACAGAACAAAGCACATTTTACCAAAGTTCTTTTTCACGCATAATCTTCAACAAAATGGTAAAATTAATGTTCAACAGATTCGTTCAATGTGAAAATTTGGCTGATATGTTCACTAAGGCACTACCAACCTCAAGATTTGAGAAGTTGAGACAGAAGATTGGAATGCGCCGTCTTCGGAAAATAAAGTGATGTTTTCATGAGGGGGAGTAAGATACGTGTTGTACTCTTTTTCCCTTAGCTAGGTTTTGTCCCACTGGGTTTTCCTGGTGAGATTTTTAACGAGGCAGCAAATAAAGCGTATTACAGATATGTGTACTCTTTTTCCTTCACTAAGATTTTTTCCCAAAGGGTTTTTTCTTAGTAAAGTTTTAACGAGGCATATTATCTATTTTTGGACATCCAAGGGGGAGTGTTGTAAAGCCTACAGTTAATGTGGATGTCCACTACTCCCACTATTTTCGCCCATGATGTGAATAACCTCCCACTACTCATCACTATTATGATTGTAACTCCCACACCTCCATAACCTCTCCCCATGATCTTCCCCCATGATCTCAATTGTTAATGTCATGTTTAAGACAATTATTTTGTAACCTTCATATGTAATAGTATAAATAGAGGCATGAAATGTGAGATGGAATACACTTGAACACTTGATGAAATAAGAAAGTTATCTCTTCTTATACTTATCTTCTTGTTTTATATTGTTACTTTGAGCTACATTACTTAATATTTATAATAATATACAAAAACAAAATGATAATAAGTATACGTAATATCTATCTATATCTATCTATCTATAGCTATATCTATATCTATCTATCTATATCTATATTATTATAAAAGCACGAATGTTACATGCTAAATGTTGAACGACGAAGATATCCCCAAAATATTAATTGACTTTTATACCCTTAAATAAATAAAATATTTATTTAATGAAACAAATTAATAGCCTGTTTGGCCAAGCTTTTTTTGGGCCAAAAGTATTTTTTTGGCCAAAAGTGCTTTTGGCAAAAAATTGAGGTGTTTGACCAAGTTTTTAGAAGGAAAAAAAGTGCTTTTGAGGAGAAGCAGAAGCAGTTTTTGAGAAGCAAAAAAATGTAGCTTCTCTCCAAAAGCACTTTTCTGAGAAGCGCTTTTGAGAAAAATACACTTAGAAGCAGTTTTCAAAAGCTTGGCCAAACATTAATTACTGCTCAAAAGTGCTTTTCAAGTTAATTAGCCGAACACAAACTCATTCTCACCAAAAGTACTTT